GAATTCAACTTGTGCACGTTCGGAAGTGCGAGATGGGGCTGCGCAAATGTGAGAAGAAGAGAGAGGGAGAGAGACCCAACTAATAAACCCTTTCGTTTTTCTCCTACACCTATGAATTGAAATTCCCTACCTAGAGAAAGAGCGGAAGAGTGATTCGTGGTAAAAAAAAAACAACGTAATCAGATAGAGCAAGAAACGCGCCATTAGAAGCAATTCTTGCTCTATCTGAATATGTTGTTTTATATCCAGAGGGATATAAAATCCCTGGGAGCACTTCATAAATAATTCATTCAAAATCGAACCAGCGTCGAAAACAACCCAATACGATCATTGTGAAATGAATGAGTGACTAGAGGCTCTCTGGTAGGTTACTAGGCGAAGACCAGCAACTACCCAAACTCTATGTTCATCCGGAAAGAGTCAATCAGTAGAGATTCTTTACTCGACATCTGCTTAACCTTCCGCTGTTGAATGCTCATCGTATCGCATCGTTCCCTTTCTAAAATTCCATTTCAGACAACACGAAACTTCTCGAAAACTTCATGTTTCCATATTCTTATATCAAAAGCGCTTTTGCTTTTGATACAAGAATATGGAAACATGAAGTTTTCAAGAAATTGCTCTATTCGAGAACATATTTTGGTTTGCCATTTGCTGTGATTCTAGTAGAGCTTTAGCGTAAGGCTCAGTCTGTGGACCACATCACTTCAAAAAAATTCTTCCTATAAAAAACGACGGAAAATCAATCAGTGATCTACCTCGTACTTGGCTGTGACTTGCTCCAAAGACCCAGTGAGTTTTTATTGCCTCGGCGATGGGAAACTGTGGGTATTAGATGATACGTATAGTGGTCAACCTTCATTCTAGTTGGATAAAAATTTCGAAAAAAAGAACCACACAAATGTGTGGTTCGTCAACAAGAATGTAACTTCAGCATTAGGCTGATGTTACCGTAATCGGGACAGCGCGTCAAATGAGATGCATCATCGGCGCGCGCACACAATCTACGTTGTACTTGACGGCAAACGCTTTCGGAAGATTCTGGAAATGTATCGTGCATTTAGTCGACGCTTTAACTAGTTCCTCACCTTTTATCTCATATATATCCCAACAAATGGAAATGACGTCTACACTAGTATAGTCCACTAGCAGCATTGTAAACAGCGCCAAGTTAAGGCTTGATTCCTTTCCTCTATTAGGCCAAATTTAGAACGAAAAATTACTCGTTAGAAAGCCAATGAAGTCGTATTTCAAAAAAGGATCAACCAATTCACAAGCTTGCTGTTGCTAGTTTCTAGGAGAAGCAGAGTATTATTTGGAATTTCCATATCGAGAAGGTTGTCGGCTCAATGGCCAATGGCAAAACTGAGTACGCAAACAATAACCTTTGCACTATGGGAAAACGCTCATCGCCTTATTATGAAGTTCAGTCCTATTAGCAGTGATGCATTTGACGAGATTTGTCAAAATATTTTGGTTTATGGATGAGAAGAGCACGCGCCAATAAGCCCGACAAAGTTACATATCAGAAATTGAAGGACTAGTCATCCTCTTCCATAGAACGACACATAGAACGCATCGTTTTCTTGCTGATTGTTCGTGACTTTCACTCGATCGAATGATACCAACTTGCTCATCCAAGCTCGCCCGGTGTCCACGGCACACTGTCATGATGAGGAATATGCGAAATGGTGTTCGCGCTTCTCCCCTGCCGTTTGTAGACCAGTCACCTGCATTGAAATTATACCTGGAGATAGAATACCTTTACCAGAATACCTTGACTACCATGCGGATAAAAGTAATGTTTCTGCTAAGCTAATCTTTGTCTCGTGAGATAAAACTGATTTGGACCCTTGTCGAGCTTGCCCCGCGAGTGAATAAATGACAGCTTCCTGTCAATTCAGTGGAGAGGGCGTCAAAGTTAAAATTACGCACACCGGTCTGAACTCCAAGAGCTCCGCTGATGAAACTTCAAAGAAGCTTCATCCCCAACCTTGGGGATGCATCCCCTCACCCGCTGAGGGGACGCATCCCCAACCTTGGGGACATATCCCCAACCTTGGGGACATATCCCCAACCTTGGGGAGAGGCCCTCGTCGGAGCTTGCTGCACCCGGCCCCAGAACTATCATACAGTGCCAATGCGCATTGCGGATGCTTATGTCGTCAAGTACAACGTAGATTGTGTGCGCGCGCCGATAATGCATCTCATTTGACGCGCTGTCCCGATTACGGTAACATCAGCCTAATGCTGAAGTTACATTCTTGTGGTTCGTCATTGACTGCTTTCTTTCGAAGGAATAGAGTTTGGGTCAGCCGCCAGCTGGCTATGTTTCATCCACTGAACCTACAACTCTGAATAATGTTCACTATTAATAAAGGTGGATTCCGTGTTTATGAAGCGACAAAATTTTTTTTTCGGTTTGTGTATAACATTACTTGAAAAGGTGAGATCTCAAAGAAAAGCGTTGTATTGAAAATAATATCACCACTCGTCGGCCAACCTATATCGAGATGCACAACATCGACCTACCAGACCTCGAAGTCTAGCATATGATATCGAGAAGCATGGATTTGACCTCTACAAAAACTTAAATGCGCTATAAATACCGACTCTCATTCACATGCTAATCACGAGCACTTGTACGATCTTCATGCATCGGAACGAACTACTGTCTATGGATAATCGATAAAAGAATGGTCGCGTTCAGCCTGCTGGGAGCGGAAGGAAAGTACGGGAAGGCTTGACTATGGCCTATGGTGAATTCCCATCAAGACTTTCTTCAAAAAATCTAATAATTCCGCCTCGATGAATTCCTAGAAACATTGGACTGTAAAGGAGGTAACTGGAAGCTCGATACGATGAGAGCTTGAGCTTTTTTGTCCCGCGGGACAAAAGTTGGATTGCACTTGTTGTTCTTGACTGGAATGTTCTTGAACCAGCGATTGGTTCGATCTATTCGCTTTATATAAGCCTCGCCCCATTGCAATCATCGTTCACCGCTCACCATCATCAGTATGCTAGCTGAGGTAGAGGCAATTGGTATGGTGTGGCGCATACTCTCTGAAACTAGTTTCTCGAAATTTTCAATTCCCAAGATTTTTAATGCATGATTTAATCACAGAAGACAGCACTGTCTACCCTGAGGAGAAGCGTGAAGATATGCGACGCCTGCTCTGTAGTTTTTCAAAGGGACTCCGAAATCCAATCAGCATTTCAGATAGTCTACTCTTTTACGAATGATGACGAAGCTAAGTTAAGAGCAGTTGTGAAGACGATATTCGGTTACGACATGAGCTCCGAATGCGTCAGCGGCCACGTAAATATTTTCAAATGGAATGTATTCCCCTTCTTTCTTCACCTTACGCTACCAATCACTCCTGTCTATGTGGCCATCCTTGTACTTAGAAGATTAACTGCCACAAAATTGCAAAATGAAGAAACAATCTCCAAAAGTTCTCGTCGCCTTCAGTCGCAGTTGCTCCAGGTGAATTTTTCTATACATGCAAAATTACAGTTGGGTATATTGAGAACACTGCCTCAGCAGATGAATAGTGATAATTTTCTTTCATGTACTGGGCGAGTGATCAGAATTTTTGGAATGCCCTTGAAGGATTATCATTAAAGCTCATCCGAATCACCGATCATGCTGATCAGCCTACCGCTAGTAACACTTCGTTCGAATTCCTGTGGAAATATATGGGAGCAGTATGCTTCTTCTCTCCCATCGCTCGCGCACCGTCGTCAAAAAGTCTTTCGAGCTTTCAGTCGATACCTTTGTTCGAACCATTAACTTTTTCTTGCATGTTATGTGCTCGTAAGGTCTGCTACTGACTTCGGAATTACTTTCGCACTCACTTCGTAATCCTATCTCATGAAGGTTTCATAATTGCTGTAGCCGAGGCAATAATTTTTATGGCACACAAACACGAATCAAATTGTAGGAACATTCTCCGTAAGCATTGTGGGTATTTTGAACCAAACATAAACAGTTTGTGCGACGCGGTCTTGCCATAAATAGAGAACCGAAGTAAACTGTCTGAAATCCTTCGCTTAAGGCTCCCTCTCCACGATTGACAAGTTGGTTCTAGGCGTTGCACAGCTTACTGTGAGAAAAGACTGTGTTTTGTTTGGAGGCTATCACAATCTATAACGGGGAGTAAAGAGAGAAACCCAGATAGAAGGGGCCTCCAGAGTAGGCTGCCTTTATGGAACGATATCTTTTCAAAATATTTTTGGTATAGTGATTACACGCGTAGTCATTCCTACATGAAGCACGCGTACACCCTTTCACCTAACACTAAAAAATCGTGATACGTTACCTTGAATGGCATAAATTTGTGTTGCCGTTGCCCGGTCGATTACAAGAGGTAAACTATCTTTTTAATGGATCATAGATGAAAAGAGATCCAATGTTTGTCCACCACGCTGACGAGGTGCGCCAGAAACAACAAGAATTGTTGCCAAAAGAAGTACAAATCATCCTTCATGTCGACGCTCAGCCTTATGTAGTAATGTGTTACAAAGGACATCGCAAACGGACTCGGACGGATTGTTCTATTCAACTTTGCTTCAAAAAACGCACTCATACGATCTCTCTCACCAACTTTCACTTTTTCATTCATTTCAGCAGCATTCCAAGCAGAAAACGAGTTAAGAACCGAAATGAGGTGAACAAGGACTATGACTGTTCCTCCACTGCACCGAATTCTGTTTCGAGTTTGTGTATCAATCCACTACGCATTTCGTCGGAGGAGCTTTTGAGCTCATCATATCGAGTTGTAGTTGTTCGTAGAGTGATCCAAAAAAGCGACACTTCAAGTTCTCGACTTTTGAAGCTCTTTCAAATTCTGAATGGATGTTTAACAGAGAAATTCAACAACAGATTCGATAAAGAAACTTCTCTATAGCCTACTGAATGGATGCGGTCGGATGTTTTCCATGCAAACACAATGCCACGCAAGATTCCTTGATCGCGTCAGCGATAGTGGACACACATGATACCATGGAAAAGATTTGACGAACATCTGCTTCTGTTCACCAGAAAACGTCTATTATGTTTCACCTAGTAACACCTACCTGCTTCTCCCTTTTTACGTGACAAATGAGCTTCGATCAAAAATTCGATCACGCCCCATGCGGAGTGTAACTTGTCATTTTGGCCACTCCTGCATCGCTTCGATGTAAGGGTTTGTGGGTTTTTGAGGTCGAAAACCTGCATTACTTTATACAATAATGCTATGACTTCGACACAAATATGTAGCCGTGATATAATTTATGCCAGAGCTGTATTAGATCGCAAATACATTGCGACAATAAAAACTGTGATTGAGTTTTGATTGGACACAAGTTGGAAAAAAAATTCAGAAATTTCAGGCGCTCTTCGTACAGGCTTGTCTGCCAATTTTCTTCTTATTTGCAGCAATCACGTCTGCGACGGGACAGTTGAACATCTATCACCATCCAATACTTGAACACCTTACCCTCATATTAATGGCATTTGCTCCGATGTTGACACCTCTTACATCTCTGTACTTCATCGGCCCGTATAGAGTTTGGATGCTGAGGACGTTCTTTCCTCGCAAAAAGGCCATAATGATTGCACCATCGCCATCAGGTAGCACTGCACCAACGGTATCATGCAACCCTCAGAATGCGTGATAAATTCCTGCGTGATGAATCTCACTAACTTGCACATCCCAACTCATTTTTTGTCAACATTTTTTACCCCGCACTTTTTTGACCGTACTTCTACATTTTTAACGACAAGTTCTCACCTTGCTTAAAACGGGCAATCGATTTTAATATTATACTTCCCGAGTAGAATTCCAACAAAGCCGTCTAATAAAAATGTGGGAGGTAAGGTGGTAAAAAGTTTTGGGAAAGTTTCTCGTGCACTTTTTCGTTTTTTGTCATTGTGGCTTTGTAATATATTACTAATTTGCATTCCATAAATATGATTGTTTGTCACGCTCACAGAAACAAGCACTAACTACAAGAGCAACTGTTTTTATTCCATATATAACGCAGGAGCATAATACGCTAATGTTTTCACAACGATAATGTTTCATTTTAGAGTCAAAGTGGTGTCCTGGTAAGTGGTACCGCTAATATCACAAACAGTTCTAGAAATCGATTATGGACTGGACCACTTGAAAGCAATGCCCCGGGATAAAACTGGTGATAAGAGCGCTTCGTAGTGATGACTGAGCTGCGGAACGACCTGAAAGTGGAAAGGAAAGCAAGAGAAATCTTTGGGAACGCTGAAATTAAGGCCTTAACCTTCAATAAGGTCGGATGTGGTACGATGGCGAGACAGGGCGGTCAAAGAAGACAAAACACGCGAGAGAGCACGTCGTTTGAGAGAGCACGCTGATCTCTACATGAATGGACGAGGTGGGTGGGAAGCGTCGATGGTTGCAGGCCCGTAAGGATTAGCGCCCTAACCGCGCAATTTTCGCGAAGCTGGAGTGATCTAGGTAGGTACGGACCTTACAATTTCCCTCGCGGTATCCTTCCTACTAGTCGGGCTAATCCCGGGGTTTGCCTTCAGAACAAACTGCAACCTTCATGTAGGATTTGACCACGAACATAGAGATAGCGATAAACCTAAATTTCCACGTAACACTTACATTTCATTATGAGCACTCTTTATAGCCAATTTTGGCTTCTTTATTACCATTAACATAGACACCATAGGACACAGCCACGTAACGTCATACAACTCGTTGCGGGATGTCGACATAAACAAATTCAACCTACAAATTCTTGAAAACGCTTCAACAACAGCCATGACTTTTCAAAAACAATCAAATAGGACAGCGTCTGTGGCAATTTGGAATACATGATAAGCAACAACAAGTTCCACATGACTTTGTGTGGTAACCGCTTTGTTTTGAGACCTATCACAGTGTACCCTGGGAGTTCTTGGACCGTTACACAATATGCATTCGATCCTGATACCCGGTTCGGTCAACAGTCAACGAGTTTTTGAGAACGCAACAAAATTGTTGTCGATAGCCCTTCTGAAAATATGATGGTCCTCGGATTGAATTCTTCTGAAATTTTATCAACCACATCGGAACGAAGTGCTAACCACTGACAGTGTAAGTCTGCATAATTCAATAAAGAACAGGCAAAAATTCCATCTATTTGACAAGGTATTTTAACAAATTCCTTGTGTTGGTTACGCGGCTTGCTTATGCAACATCTGAAATTGCCGTGTCACGTCGACGGCATGTAAGCTGCTCTCACTCGACGCATCCTATGGTTGCTGCCATCTCGCTAATTCCAGATTTCTCTATTTGACAAAAACTTACCCGGGGCTCACCCAACGCGGGGTCTGCCTTAAAGGCAAACTCCGGGATTAAACAGGTGCTATCAGCGCTTTGTAGTGATAGCTTAGCTGCGGAACGACCTGAAAGTGGAAAGGAAAGCAAGAGAAATCTTTGGGAACGCTGAAATTAAGGCCTTAACCTTCAATAAGGTCGGATGTGGTACGATGGCGAGAAAGGGCGGTCAAAGAAGACAAAATACGCGAGAGAGCACGTCGTTTGAGAGAGCACGCTGATCTCTCATCAATGCACGCTCTCACCAGGTGGGAAGCGTTGGAACGGGGTCGATGGTTGCAGGCCCGTAAGGATTAGCGCCCTAACCGCGCAATTTTTGCGACGAAGCTGGAGTGATCTAGGTAGGTACGGACCTTACAATTTCCCTCGTGGTATCCCTCCTACTAGTCGGGCTAATCCCGGGGTTTGCCTTTTAGGAAATGGTGCAATCTCCTGCCTAGCACTACATTTGTATAAGTGGAGTCACAAACGCCTCCAACTCACCGCTCACGTCATGAATACACTGCGTTCAATAATGATACAGCCACCTAAAATTTGTTCGAAAACTTAAAGTTCATAGAGTTTCTGAAAAACTGTCCAGATAGAAAATGTGACAAATTTCATGGCGAGTTCAGATATCAACACAAAAATCCATGTTCGAAAACACTAAAAAATTTTGTATAAATTTTTTATATATAT